GACCCAGAAAGCAGGGGTCAGAGACCTAGAGACAGAGGGGAACAGAAACCCAGAGAGAGAGGGGGACAGAGACCCAGAAAGCAGGGGTCAGAGACACAGAGAGAGAGGGGGACAGAGACCCAGAAAGCAGGGGTCAGAGACCCAGAGACAGAGGGGAACAGAAACCCAGAGAGAGAGGAGGACACACGTTCAGATCCAGAGAGAGAGGAGATGGGGACCCAGAGAGAGGGGGACAGAGGTCAGAAAGAGGGGGATGAAAGCCCAGAGAAAAAGGGACAGAGATAGAGAGAGGGGACAGAGACACAGAGGTGAGGGACGGGGGCCTGGGGCCAGGTGAGGTAGGGGAACAAAGCTGCAAACTGAGATGGCAGAGCTCAGCAGGCCGTGAGGTCAGGGTGTCTGTGAGGTCAGCCTGTGTCCAGGGCCAGCCCTGGGGGCCGTGCCCAAAGCAGGCAAGTGCAGGTCAGCCAGGAGGTCCCCCAGGCTGAGCCATGGAGACCTGGGAAGGGTTGCCGTGTGTGTCCTTGGTGCCCACCGATGGCAAGGCCCCGCAGGTACTGGGGTGTGTATGTGTGTGTGTGTGTTACAGTTGGCCGGTGAGGGGCCAGGCAAAATGACACAGACAGTGACAGTCACTGCGTGTAGGAAGGGGGGGTGGGGCCCAGCCCTGGAACTTCCTCTTTCTGTGCGCTCTTCCTTTCTCTCTCCCTCTCGGCCTCACCCTCTCTTTTCTCAGACTCGATCTCTGTCTGTTCATCCCGTCTGCCCTCCACCACCACCACTTCTCCACCCTTCCCTTGTGTTGGTCTAACCCCCTCTAGGCGAAGATGTCGGCTCAGGGCGGTTGCCTCAGTCTGATCAAATACTTCCTCTTCGTTTTCAACCTCTTCTTCTTCGTGAGTTCCCTCATGGCTACCCAGCCCCTGCCACGGCCCCGACCCCGGACTTGACGTCCCTCCCGCCCACCCACCCACCTGGCCTCATCTCCTCTCCCCAGGTCCTGGGCAGCCTCATCTTCTGTTTTGGCATCTGGATCCTCGTTGACAAGACCAGCTTCGTGTCCTTTGTGGGTAAGGGGGGCTGGCGCAGTTGGGGAGGGGCTTCCTGGAGCAGCCGTGGGCTCATCCGCCCCACAGGTGACCCAGGAAAGGGGTCTCGTCATGCCCAGCTCCTTAGACAGGCCACTCTGCTCACGGGTGCCCCTCTTCTCTGAACCTCAGTGTCTTCCTCTGGCCACTGCGGTCATGCACACCACTCACCGCAACTACAACAATAATAATGGCAGTCGTTTCTCCAGCGCTTCCTGTGCGCTCATCCAGCTGCTCCACCCCCAATCCTTTCCCTCTCCTGAGGTTCAGAGAAGGGAACTCAGTTGCCAGGTATCACACAAGAAAATAGAAGAGTGGAAATAATAATCGTGGGGGAAAAAAAAAATAACGGGGTAGTCATCAAAACGCAAAGAGCTCATACTTAAAAAGAAGTGTTTATCCTGTGTCGAGGAGCACAGCGGTTAAGTGCTCAGCTGCTAACAGAAAAGTGGCCGGTTCAAACCCACCAGCCGCTCCATGGGAGAAAGATGAGGCAGTCTGCTTCCGTAAAGATTTAACAGCCTTGGACACCTTACAGGACAGTTTCACTCTGTCCCACAGGGTAGCTATGAGTCAGAATCGCCTTGATGGCAATGCACTTTTTTTTTTAAATTGTGTGTTGAGGATAGGGTTGAACACATCCTCCCACGTGTCCCTCAAAACAAACCTAAGAAATTGGTATTATTAAGTGCCCAATGGAATGTCACAGAACAAATGATGGGAGCTGAAACTGTTAGGGGTGAGGAGGGGCAGAAGAAGGAGAGGAGGACTGAGAGGCAAACAGACAGACAGAGACCCAGAGAGAAGGGAACAAGGACTCAGAGGTGATGAGACAGTGACCCCGCGAGGAGGAGCTAGGGGCCCGGACAGGTGGACCAGGAGTCCAGGAAGAAGACACAAGACACAGCTCCCCACTTAGGTGGCCGTGTAGGTAGGGGCTGGGCGGCGGGGAGCTATACACCCCGGACTCATGTCGCCACCTCTTGCCTCCCAGGCTTGACCTTCATATCCCTGCAGATCTGGTCCAAGCTCCTGGCCGTCTCTGGAATCCTCACCATGGCCCTTGCCCTCCTGGGCTGCGTCGGGGCCCTCAAGGAGCTCCGCTGCCTCCTGGGTTTGGTGAGTGGCCCGCCCTGGAGTCTCTCCACCCCTAGGGCCATGCCCCTAAGTGGCCCCAAATAGAGACTCCAGGGGTGCCTGCAGCCTGAGCTCTCTGCTCTGCCCCCCAGTACTTCGGGATGCTGCTGTTCCTGTTTGCTACCCAGATCACCGTGGGAATCCTCATCTCCACACAGAGAACCCTGGTGAGCTGGGCTGGCGGTGGCGGTGGTGGTGGTGGTGGTGGTGTAGGAAGGGGCGGAGAGAGATGGAGCTACACAAAGACAGGAGTCGACAGAGACAAAGAGAAGTAACAGGGACAGGAAGACGGAGAGACAGAGACAGACACACGGACTGACATAGAGAGACAGAAAGCGACAGGGACACAGGGCGAGAGACATAGGAGGAGAGAGATGTGGGAATGCAAAGAGAAATAAAGAGAAAAACACCCTGAGAAACAGAAGGCACTGAGGAAGTTAGAGACCTAATAGTGACCCCTCCAAACTCCAAACTCACTACAGTAGAATCAATTCCTAGTCACAGCGCCCCTAGAGGACTGAGTGGAACTGTCCCACAGGGTTTCCAAGGCTGTCAGTCTTTACAGAAGCAAAGCCCAAACCACACCCACTGCTGTGGAGTCAATTTGGACCCACAGCGCCCCTAGAGGACAGAGTGGAACTGTCCCACAGGGTTTCCAAGGCTGTAATCTTTACAGAAGCAAAGCCCAAACCACACCCACTGCTGTGGAGTCAATTTGGACCCACAGCGCCCCTAGAGGACAGAGTGGAACTGCACCACAGGGTCTCCAAGGCTGTCAATCTTTATGGACGCCTACTGCCTTATCTTCCACAGAAAGATGGGTTTGAACTGCCGACCACCAGAGCTCCTTAATAGTAACCCCCTAGAGATAGTGAAAAGATGGGGCAAGCAGTTGGCAATTGGCTTCCAACCCAAAGGTTGGTGATTCCAACCCATCTGGTGGTTCCGCGGAAGAAAAGACGTGGCGATCTTCTCCCCAAAGGTCACAGCCTTGCAAAGCCTGTGAAGCTGTTCTACTCTGCACACGTGGGGTCGCCCCGAGTCAGAAGGCACTGGGAGACAACTAAGAGAGAGACCCTGGACACAGAGAGTTGGGGTTTTTTTAGCAATAGTGAAACATGGCTACCCGTTCATTCAGTGAGGTACCGAGGCAGATACCAAGATGAACAGGGAAGAACCCGTTGGGGCTGAGAAAGCCCCGGGGTGGGGGGCTAAACCAGGTGGGGCCAGTGGGGACGGGGCTAGGGTAAGGTCCTGCTCACTCCCCCGCCTCTCAGCTGGAGCGAAAAGTGCAAGAAATGGTGTTGGAGACTATCCAAAACTACAGCGCCGACCCAGAAGAGACGGCGGCTGAGGAGAGCTGGGACTACGTGCAGTTCCAGGTGCGCGAGCGCCCACTTCACCCCTAGATCGCAGCATCACCTGGCCGCACGTGGCTTCCTCCTACCGGCTCCCAGACTAGAACTGGCCCCGCCCCTGCCTCCATCAGCCTATCACCGAGAGACCCCGCCTCGCTTCCGCCCTCCCCCCCCAGTGCGAGGACGCTAAGGTGACCCCACACACAGCCCCTAACCCTAGATGAAAACTTGCCCCAATCCCAATGTGGTTCCGCCTTCATCCCCCAGTGGGTCCGTCCCCAGCGCCTAAAGAGACTCCACCCCTAACTCCCAGACTCCGCAAGGTCCTGTCTCTGCCCCAAAGAGACTCCGGCTCCTACGGGACCCCGTCCCCGACGACACTCCACTCCAGTGGCCCAGCACTCCCACCCACCTGTCCCCTACGTGAGGCTGGACTGCACCACCAACTCAACTGCCTGTCCACAGAGTGATTCTGCGGTTCTTCTCTCAGTCCTAGGTCCCTGTGTGACTCGTGTCTCTCAGTCCCAGGTTCCCTTAATGTCCCCTGGCCCCCGGCGTGTCCCTAGCCCACTGCTTCCCGCGTAAACTTGCACCTAACACTCATCACCCAGGCCCCTCTGCATCCCACCGAGCCTGGCCCCTCTCACTCGCGTCCCTCTCTCTCAGCTGCGTTGCTGCGGCTGGAATTCTCCACAGGACTGGTTCCAGGTCCCCAGCCTGAAAAGCAACGAGTCGGATGAGTCCCGCGTGCCCTGCTCCTGCTACAACTCGTCGTCGACCAATGACTCCGCAATCTTCGATAAGATCTTCTTTCCCCAGCTCGGCCGGCTCGGGCCGCTGGCGCGTCCCAGACGCTATACGGACTTCTGCTTGATGCCTGCAAACAGACACATCTACAGCGAGGTGGGGCGGAACGTTGAGCAGCTCGGTTGGGGCTGGGCTGCAGGTGGGGCCGGGCAGCGGAAGAGGCGGGGTCTTGAGGAGGCGGGAACCACGGCAGGTGGGCGTGGCTTACAAGAAGAGTGGCCTACCCCAAAGGAAGAGGCGGAGCCGCCTAAAAGGGGCGGAGACTGCCTCCCAAAGGAAAAGGGCGGAACTTGGGTGCTGATATCTAGGACCCGGCGAAGCTTAGGGAATGCAGACAGATAGAACTAGAGACTAGAAGCAGTTGCCCTGGAGTCAACTCCAACTTACGGCCACCTCGTGTGTGCAAGAGTCTAACTGTGCTTCACGGAGGTTTCAATGGTTAATTTTTTGGAAGGAAATCCCCAAGTCCTTCTTCTAAGGCACTTATACGTGGATTCAAACCTTCAGCCTTTTCCATAAAGAGCCCAACCGTGAACCTGTCTCTCCACCCCACCCCCAGGGCTGCAAGCGGAGCCTCCAGAAATGGCTGCACAACAACCTCATCTCCATAGTGGGCATCTGTCTGGGCATCGGTCTACTCGAGGTGATGTAGCTACGCCCCCATTCATTGTTGGCCCCATAATCCCTTAGAGTTTACAAGCCCCCATTGCGTGTAACGGTCCTCCCCGTGACTGGGAAAGGCCTTGCGTAAAGGCGCTTAGCGCGCGCGCGCGCACACACACACACACACACACACACACACACGCTGTGATCTCTCATTGGCCGAACCCTGGAAGTAGGCGTTCCCGTCCGTCCACGCGAGGCTCCCACTGGCCCCGCTAGGTGTATGAACCTCCTGCTATTGACCACTATATTCCTCACCCCCTTTGCATCGCAGGTGAGTGCGGTGGGGCTCAGTCTGCTGCTACCGCGCAGCACGCTCCATCAGGAACCTCAAAGGCGGGTAGCGGGCAATGTCAGTTCGAGTCCCGGGCCCGGCCCCAGCGCTGACAGCAGCGGCGGCGGCGGGCGCGGCGGCATGCTAAGCAGCAGAGGACGTAGCGGCTCTCCATGGGGTGGCTGGGGCATGGCAGACGCCTGCCCTAACTGGGGAGACAAGGACCCTCAGGGCAAGCTGCCCATGGCCCTAGGGCCCTGGTCGCTGTGGGACCAAGACCAGGAGCAGCGTGAGACGGGGAGCGTAGGCGCGGAAGTGGAGGCCGAGGGGGCGACACAGGAGCCTCCAGAATAAAGGAGGGCGCTATGCACCAGTTGAGGCCCCGCACTTGCTCCAGACCCTACTCCTTCCCAGACTCCACCGGGCGCAGTTCCTCAACTCCCAGGATTCCCCGCCCCACTCGTTCCACTTCCTGCTCCCACCACTACCCAGCATGCCTCACCTTAACCCCTACACATTCGCCTTTGGCTTGATTTCCCCAAGCGCTGCTGTTTCCAGGCTCCCCTGGTTGGCACAAATGATTAAGTGCCCGACCACTAGAGGCGCCCTGGAAGGTGGGTGATGATCTGCTTCTGAAAGGTCACGGCCTTGAAAACCCCTCATCAAACCAAAAAACTAAACTCACTGCCGTGGAGTCGGATCCGATAGCGACCCCTCTTTGCGTTTCGGAGGCCGTATCACTAGGGCTTGCCCAACCTTCCTTCCAAGGAGTGGCTGGTGGGTTTGAACCGCCAGCCTTCTGGTTAGAAGTCAAGTGCCTTAGGCACTAGCCAGCAGAGCTCCTTGAAAACCCCTTAAGAGTAGTTCCACTCTGCACACAGGGGGTCGCAATCGAGTGGAAAACAATTGCCCTTTCGGATAGGACCACCTCCCTTCCTGACTCCGCCCACTTGTAGTTCTCACCCCGCCCCCGCCCCGTAACTCCGCCCCATCTTCCTGCAAGGTTTCCGCCCCGCCCCATTGTCCAGCGCCTTTCCTAACCCTGCATATTCCCCAGGACCCAGCCGCGTGTCTAGTCTCCCTGGGCGCCGCCTCGAGTTCTCTGACCGCGTCTCCTTTCTCTGTAGCTCGGCTTCATGACGCTCTCGATCTTCCTGTGCAGGAACCTGGACCACGTCTACGACCAGCTCGCGCAATACCGCTAGGCCCCGCCCCTCCCAGGTGCCGCGGTCATTCCCCTGCGGCCTGTAAATATGTTTATTCCCCAGTCCCCACCTTCTCAGGCACTGAGCCCGCCGCCTCCCCATTCCCCCGGGGACCAAGACTTCCGCCTGCCCTAGGCTGCCCCCTCTCCCATGGGATCTGGGGCTTCAAGCCCCAGCTTCCTGTCCCCAAAGGTAACTTCCTAGCCTACTACTTCCTCTCCAGGTTATTTTCCGCCCAAACCCCAAATAAATTCCCTGCGTTTTGGTAAAATAGCTTTATATTCTATCAAAACACAACCAACACGTGGGGTGGGGGTGGGCAACACAGCCTAGCAGGCCACTCACAAGGAGAGAGTAGGGTACAAAGTTTCAGCCTGCCCCTTCCCAGCTGAGATCAAAGTCAAAACCCTAACACCCATTTATAAATATCTCTTGTTATATTAAAAAAAAAAGTATTCTCAGGGCCCACCTGGCTGTGGTCCTGCACAGAAAGGGTTAACCTCGGTTTCCCACATCACACATCACAGGGTGGGGGAGGGAGGTGATAGGGGAGGCAGAGAATGGTTGAGGGGCCCGGGGTAACAGCCAATGTGCAACGTTTGTGGTTGGTAGGTGCCAGTGAGTTAATTTCCACTCCTAGTGACGCCATGTGACAGGTAGTTAGGACTCTTTTCAACAGTGTGAGTCCTTGTGAGAAGCTGAGGGTTCTCTTACTCCTGTCCCCAATCCCTGAGGCTCTGGAGTGAGGTCCTTTCAGACACGCCCAGTGAGATCCCAATATTGGGGTGTATCTTTTCGTCTCAAATCCCAACCAAGATCAGGGAGTAGAAATTAAGCTCCCAGATTTTGAGGCCCCCTCTAACTTCAAGGGCAGCTCCAGTCACTTAGGCCTCTGAAGCCAACCCCCTTTCATCAAAACCCCACCTCCCCAAATGAGGAACATGGGGAGCGTTGATGGGTCCTGCCTGGGAAGGGGGTGTTTCGGGGTCCCTCTTCAGTCCTTGACCAGGCGGTAAATGTGGTGCTGGGCCCCACGCTCGCTCGTGGAGACCTCGAAGACGTACGCGGTGCACAGCAGCAGCTCCTGGGTGTCTCTGTCGGTCACCACCTGCCAGGGAGGCCAGAAGAAGGGGCTTAGGCTTCGGGGGAAGGGCGGGGCGGGCCCCTGTGCCCTCCCAATGCATCCTGGGAGATCCACCAGCTTCCTGTGACTGTCCCAGGGCAGGGTCGGTCTCCACCATGTCATGGTCCCCAAGAAAAGGGAATGCCCATCAAGTGACTTTCCCTAGGCATCGGGGTTAGAGTCTGCCACAGGGGCTCACAGCAGATGGTGGTCCCCCTTGTATGATGTTTCAGGGTCCAGGGAATCCTCCCCCCATCCAGTTAAATGGTGTCCCCACCATATCCCAGGTAAAGGGTGAACCCATCTCCTCAGGTTCCCCAGTAAAGGAATCCCCACCTCAGCACATTCCCCAAAGGGGCTCCTACCATGTTCCCTGGACCAATGTTCCCACTCTCCCTTCACTCCTCTGAAGGGAGCCCCCTAAGCTGAAGATCTACTTAGAGGGTCCTGAAGGTGTCTTCCAGGCTAAGGATCTACTCCGTAGTCCCCAGTGGGTCAATTCCCTGGGTGAAGGGATCGTCTAGGCTGCGAGTCCACTGTGGAGTCCTCTAGGCTAATGGTCTGCTCTGGGGTCCCCACCACGTCAGCTCGCGGGTGAAGGGGTCCTCTAGGCTGAGGGTGCACTCTGGGGTCCCCACCACGTCACGTCAGCTCGCGGGTGATGCGGTCCCCTAACCTGCCTGCCCGTCAGTTGTGGCCACTGCCCGCCCCGTCCAGCCCTGGCCCGGCCCGGACCTGGAGGACGGTGAAGTTCTCCAGGACGCTGTTCATCATGTAACGCTCAGGCAGCTGCCGCAGCTTATGCAGGAAATTGACCAGGTACTCGCACATGGGCGAGCGCAGCAGACGGTACACGAACCGCCCGTCCTCCAACTGCGCATGCTCCGTCTGCACCAGTGGGGGTCAGGGAGGGGAGGCCAGCGGCTGAGAGCCGGGGTCACCCAGGCGACTGAGCCCCACCCCATGCCTCCGGGGTGCCCCACCCAGCGACTGAGCCCCACCCCATGCCTCCGGGGTGCCCCACCCACACCCCACTGCAAGCTCCCTTCCACCACTCCACCCGTGGCGACCAGCGATGTGATGCTGGGACCCTGCAGTATCCAACTCATGATCACCAAACACGCAAACCTGGGACCCCTGCAGCCCCTCCAAGCCATGCTCCGAACGCTCAACAAACTCCTCCTCTGATCTCTGACCACGAAGCCCAACAGAGTCCCTCTGAACCTCAAAGACCCCTTCAATGAGATCTCCAAACTCTATATGGCCTCTGAACTCAAGACTCCTAAGTCCTCAGCACCTTCCAAGTGACCTCTGAACCTCCATGCCAACGAACCCCTTCGTGTCCATTTTGATCCCTGATGTTAGCTGTCCTGTCGGCTCAACTCATGGCGACCGTATGTGTAACCCAGCCATCTCATGTTCACTGGTATGCTGTGAGTCCATGCTTGTGGTTGTCGCATCAACTCATCTCATTGAGGGCCTCTCTAGTTTCCACTAACTCTCAGTGACCCTACATCTCTGTACCTAACTCAGTCCACGTGACCTTTGAACCGTCCAAATCTCCATACATGTGACTCTCAAACCATACATTCATTCCAAACCCCATGAACTAAACCCTGAAGAAACTGGGACCTCTCCCACCATGCAGACCCACCAAGATCCAACCCCTTCGTGGTCCTTGGACCATGTAGGCAACATCCCCCACCCCAAAGTGGCAGGTGGCTTCTCCCCGCCGCCCCCAGCCTCACCTCTACCTTCTCCACCACCTGCTTGCCGAAGGAGCAGACCTTGGAAGAACAGGTGAGGGTCATGTGTTCCAGGCTCTCGTATTGGCTGCTCACTCCATAGAAGCCGCCGCTGCCGCCGCCGGCCCCCACCTCCTCGCCACTTGGGCCCCAGTCCAGGTCCGCCTGGGGATGGGGAGACACAGTTAAGTGGGAGGAGACGTCCCATGTAAACCGTGGGGACCCCTCGAAGTCCGGAACTCTGCCCGCGGCCTGGTTTCTCTCACTGCCCCTGCCATCACCCACCTCTCTTCCTCAGTATTCCAAGTTCCCCACCTGGCCGCTGGAGAAACAACCACCCTTTCATCAGTGTTGGGGAAGCTGGGATCTCCAATGTAGTTCAGACCTTCTGCCAGTTAACCCTACACCACGGGAGCTCTGGAATTCAACCACTTTCTCCTAAAGCCCCCAACTCAAGAGTCCAGCCCCTCCGAGTAGCGACTGGGACCTTAAAAGCTAGGAAGCTGCCATCTAGATGCAACAACGGGTCTCTCCTCGTCAAGAAGAAAGAAGAAAACCAAAATTAATGGAAACAATCAGTCCTAGCGACTGGTACACCATCCGATCTGCAACCTATACAACTATGAGACCAGAAGAACTAGATGGTGCCCAGCTACCACTGCCATCCACTTGGAAGGGATGTAGGAGATCCTGCATAGAGAGGGAGAACAATGTGGAACAAAACTCAAAATCATTTGGAGGCAAAAAAAAAAAAAAAAGAAGGTGGGGACCAGGTTTGCTGGTCCAATGGAGCCTGGCGTAACCACTGGGACTATGGCCCCTAGCTGCCCTTCAGGTCTGGAATTGAACTCACAACTGTGGTTTCCAGCCAAACAAAGTACAGGCATGTGAGTTAAACATTTACCTCAAGTAGACACACGCCCTGGAGAGAACAATCATGGGAGAAGGAAGGGCTGCTTATGCACAGGGAGATAGCTCAGGGTGCAGAAGAGTATGAAGGGATGGACACTGGGAGGAGGTAACTATGGGGAGGAAGTGGGAGGGGAGCTGCTGCATTGTAAATGTTGGTCAATGACATGAGACAAAGTATATGTGAACTGCTGTATGAAAAGTGAATTTACTCTGTAAATCTTCACCCAAATCCTAAAAAAAAAAAAAGAGTCCAGCCCCTCTATGTATGCACATCCATGTTCACTGTAGCACTATTTACAATAGCAGAGATAGAAACGACCTAGGTGCCCATCAGTGGAGGAATGGATAAACAAACTATGGTACACACAAACAGTGGAATACTACGCAACACTGAAGAATAATGTAGAATCTACAAAACATCACCTAACGCAGATAAACTTGGAGGACATTATGCTGAGTGAAACAAGTCAGTCACAGAAGGACGAATATTGTATTAGTTCACTATCATGAAAAGTCAAGGAAAGGTTAAAAAAAAAAAGAGTTGAGCCCCTTCTAAGGGTCTGGTTACTAAGGAGGCAGTTACTCCCCGGCAACCAGTTCAACTTAGAGCCCCTTCCTCAGAGCCCAGGCCCCAGGCTCCTTCACAAAGCTGGTTGCTAAGGCAGGTGGCTACTCCCTAGCAACGGGGCCTGGCATTACCTGAGGAAGCCTGACTCCCTCTAAAACACTCCTCAGGGCTTTTCAGTCAATTCTTAGAGCTCAAAGCCCTCCATGACCTCGGAGGTCAAGTGAGGGGTACCTGCTCCCTCACACCAGGCCAACAAAGACAGTTGCCAATGGGGAGGAAGTGGGAGGGGAGCTGTTGCATTGTGGGAGATTGCAGTCAAGTGTCATGAGACCAAGTGTATGCCAACTGCTGTATGGAAGATGAATTTGCTCTGTAAACTTTCACCCAAATCATAATAAAATTAAAAAAAAAAAAGGTCACTGGCAAGTCAGTTCTGATACATGGTGACCCCACATATCAGAACTTCTCCATGGGGTTTTCAAGTCTTTCAGAAACAGATGGCCAGGCCTGTGTTCTGAGGGACCTCTGAGTGGGTTCAAACGGCCAACCTTTCAGTTAGTAGTTGAGTGCTTAACCACCTGTGTCACCACAGACTCTGTCACATGGCCAGGTGGGGCCTAAGGAGCCCATTGGTCTGCAAGGCACACACACA